TCCCAGAAGGAAAAGGAATTTGGATGTGTTACCTACATGTTCCAACTCCCCATGATTGGAGCAATGAATGTGGGCTGCACATGTACTAATAAAATAAATTTAAAAAAATGTTAGTACCGACCGTCAGGCATAGCCATGGCAACCAGCAAGGCCGCGTGCCAGTTGTGCGATTGCTGGCCAGGTGGCCAGGCCTGGAGAGGGTGTGCAGTGTGTAACCTGACCTGGGCCTTAGACCTAAGCCGCGATTATATATGCACTATGCACTGAAATCTTTGCTTCTTTATTTATGTATAACTGACAGAGCATGCAAAACAACAACAAAAAGAGTTTTAAAAAGCTAATGTATAGGTATCAAGTACCTAATACAATATATGAGTGCCAGTTGAAAATTAAAAATTCTGCCTGTGATCTCAGCCCTGGGCTGGCTGAGGCAGGAGGATCTCTGTGAGTTCCACCCCTACCCTGGACTACTTAGTGGGTTCTGGGGTTACACCACCAGCCACCTCACTGGGCTGGATTTTTTTTTTTTAAACCGTTGTTGTTGTTTTGGTTTTTTGAGACAGGGTCTCACTACGTAGTTGAGACTGACCTGGAACTCACTATGTAGCCCAGGCTGGTTTTGAACTCACAGCGATCCTCCTGCCTCATCCTCCCAAGTGCTGGGATTATAGTGTGCCACCTCGCCCAGCCTGTTGTTGTTTGGGAGACCCGGAGGAAAGTTTCTGCATCCAATTTTGTAAGAGTTTGTTCTCCAGGTTGTTAGGGGAGAGAGGAGGGTGGGGCTGTGTATAAATAATTGAGCCTCAAAGAGACAGACTGGTTCCTGGCATGGTAGCACACGTCTGTAACCCCGGCAAGTTCAAGGGCCGTGTGGTGTGCATATCAAGACCTCAAAAAAAAAAAAAAAAAAAGATAAAAAAAAAATACAGGCTAGACCCTAAACTTATATGTTTTCAAATTGCCATGCTTGCAGGTAGGCTTATTGGATTTTGAATACCAGGGATCAAACTCACGACCTTGTACTTGTGAGGCAGGCAGCAGAACTAGTGAGCTAAATCCTCAGCCTTATTTTTTGCTTTTTTTGAGACAGGGTCTTGCTATGTAGTCCAGGATGCCTGTCAGCTCACTATGTGTCCAGGCTGGCAGGCTGGCTTTGAACTTGAGAATCCTCTTGCCTCAGCCTCAGCCTGCCAAGTGCTGGGATCACAGGTGTGTACCACCATGCCTGGCTTCAACTTTTCTTTTAGTCTGTGCTGTCTCACTGATAAATTAAATAGCTAGTAAAAGAAAAAAAAAAGTAGCATTCTTGAACAAGCTTCAGTATGGAAAACTCATAAATCATGTAAATGGCTTTCCCAGCAGCCTACCAGCAGAGGGGGTATAGCTCAGTGGTAGAGCATTTGACTGCAGATCAAGAGGTCCCTGGTTCAAATCCGGGTACCCCCTTGGTGATCCTTTAGGTTTTTCACAGGCGCTGGGGTATAAATCTGAACCTCTGGAAGTCAGTGATTTCCGCATCCAAGTCTTTGAAGATGTCTTTTGCCATTTACACTTATTTTCCCTTCTTGTGAAGTTCCTGGTATCTGAAAACTAGAGAGCAGCAATCCTTACTGGCAAGTGGTGTGAACACTCACAGCGTGTAAAGCCCTCCAGCACTCCCAATAGAGTTTGGGGTCCCAGTCAGTCTTATCTTAAACACTATTCACCAACACTGCTTTTACGTTTTTTTTGTTTATTAAATTATTTTTTGAGACAAGTCTTGCTATATAGTTCAAGCTGGGCCCTTGAACTAAGGATGAAGCTGGCCTCAAACTCTCAGAGATCCTCCTGCCTCAGCCTTCCAAGTGTTGGGATTATAGGCCTGCACCACCAAGCTCTGCTGTTAATGATTTGGTTTTGGGTAAAAGATGGTGTGTTGGGGTTAGAGAAATATTCCTTTGCCTAGGTCATCCTGACAGATTTTGAGGATGAATCCAGGTTCAGGTTTAAGAGAATGAGGGGTGACAGGCTTCCCTCTCCAGAGGGGATCAGGGTGGGACTTGGTCCAAGCTCCCACAGACACCCAGTCAGGGTTGGGTGCCGGGAAGGGCTGGCCACTGGGCTTGCTGTCCAGCATGAACTCCATCTCCCTGTCCAGCCCTGCAGCTCCAGGAATGGGAACTGGGTGGAAAAATGTGCAGAGTATTCCCCGGGGTCCCCAGGGATGACACAACCAGATTCCAAGTTTTAAATATCACCGCTGCCCCCTGACCCAGGCAGCAGGCCTCTGCCCGTCTCCCTGGTTTTTCCTTTTTTTGGGCAAAATCTAGTGGAGGGGCCACTGTTTTCCCTCTGGCTTCACGATCTGCCTTCCCCATCAACAGTGCTGCTGTCAATCACAGGCCCGCAGACAGCTGTCCCCATTTTTCGGCCCAAAATTCGATGGCCTTTGTGGAATCAGTGCGGTGCTTCTCTAAGTGTGGTCCCTGAGGCACCACCCACGAAACTGTTCAAAATGGAAATTCTCGGGACCAGGCGAGACGGAGCACGCCTGTAATCCCAGCACTCGGGAGGCTGAGGCAGGAGGATGGCCAGGAATCCGAGGCCATCCTGAGTTTTGTAGTGAGACTGTCTCAACAGGCCCTGCAGGTAATTCCAGGGTGTGTTCAGGTCTGAAAACTACCACCTTCTTTTGTACAGGTTGCAGCGGGAAATCACTTTATTTTTGCAGTTTAATTAGAATGGGTCTGACGGAGCTGAGGGTGGTGGCTCATATCTGTAACCCCAGGACTCAAGTGGCTGAGGCAGGAGGGTCGCCCTGAGTTCAAGGCAGGCTGAACCACTCTAACATTCTCCAAGCCCTTTTACTGTCACTCAGAATAAAGACGGGGTGGGATGGGGTGGGGGTGCCCATCTCTTGACCCCATGGAAGTGGAAATTCAACCTGGGGAGTCTGCACGACCCCAGCCCGGCTGGACACGCATCCATCCACACCTCTTTCCGCCTGGCAGCAAAACTGAAAGGTTATTGCTAAGGCTGGAAAATGAGGAAAGGAGTTGTTTTTCGTTTCTGTTTTGTTGTGACCCAGGGTCCAAGGTTAAATCAAGCGCTGAAAGTACAAAACGGGACACACCAGTTGAGGAAGAGAGGAAAAGTCTCCAAGGGGGCACCCGGATTTGAACCAGGGACCTCTTGATCTGCAGTCAAATGCTCTACCACTGAGCTATACCCCCGCGCCGCTGCAGCGCCGGGAAGCGACTGTTTTGGGTGCTGCCAGACCATTGTGGCTGCTAGACGCTAGGAAGCGAGGAAGAAAAAGGGATGAAAGAAGGAAGAAGGAGCCGCAGACAAGAGCTGTGGGAGCGGGGCAGGGGGTTCCCGATCGCCAGCAGGTTCAACGCCCTGCACGGGCGGGGAGGAGGGAAGTCCCGACCCGGGCGGACCTGCCCCTTCCAAGGCCA